GGCACATAGAAGTATTAGAATTGCTCTTGTGGATCAGATCTCTTGTCCCGTAGCCCATCTCTAACGCTGGCTTCAGAGGAAGGTGCAGGAATCCCCGGGCTGCACAACTGGAAAGCGCTGCCCGGAGAAATCTCTTCCTGATCCCTCTCCGTGGAGGCTTTCCGCCCAGAAGCAGGAGGCTTTCCTGGGGATCTTCTCATTATTCACAGAAATGCCTTATCCTTTCCAGATTCCTCATGAGCTCTTGTCCTCGGGACCACGTGAAAGTGATTTACACAGCAGCGTTTTGTGCAGTGTAAAAAGGCATTCTTTGTTATTTTTGAGCTTATTGCCTTTCACTTTCTTTCCAAATCCCTCTCTTCTCATATCAGAAAATATGTACAGAACAGTGCAACATGTTTTCTGTCATTTACTTTTTTGAAACCTTTCTACTAAAGTAGTCCCCATCTTTTCAGCTGCTCTTCAGCATTTTCAAGTGCTGCAGAGATTTAGACCAAATTTAAGCAAAGTCAGATATCTCTCCCCTGTACCACTGCCTGCAGGTAAATGCAACCTCAATTTTTGAAGAGAAGAGGGACTCTCCCAGGGGCATTTTGAACACCCAAATAAGCTAAAAGTGGCACTCCTTTAATCACAATTTTGGGGACATGCTCCAGTAAATCAGAGGCTTGGTTTACAGAAGCTGTGATATTTTGTGGCTGTGTTCATCAGAGCATACCTAAGGCTAACTGAGCAGAACAAAGCACATTTTAATGTGACGCATATGAGAAAAAAATTCAATTTCCTTTGTATTTACAAAGGTCAATGACAGGAGACTTTGCCAGGAGCTCTGCTTAAAAATGTCTCTAAAACTTATTACTGCTCCTGAGTGCTCTCATGGCCAATCTTTTGCCTTGAGAGTCGCTTGGGGATGCTAGCCTGTGACTCCCTGCCATATGACTCACTGTTACGGTGGGAACACTTCCCTTCTGGCTTATGCCGAGATGGGAGGAAAAAGGGTGGCAGGGAGTAAATTGCAAAAATAAGCTCTTAGTTGCTTTTAGCCCCTGTGAGAGAGACCCTTAAAAAACCAGAGCAGCTCTCTTCCAATAGGTTGAATCCAACACGTGGGCTAGATGGAGCCCACACAGGTCAAGATGCCAAAAGGCTTTGGCTGTGCTCCTGTCTTGGACGCAGACCGCCGTCCCATTCCCCTGTGAGTAAATGATGCTATGGCTTGCCTCCAATACTGATGCGTGCATGCTGTGGTAAACTGCAAGCACAAAGCACTTGAACTCAGTGCTTAGTGTTAAGCACTAGCACCTGGCTATGAACAGGGGTGAGGCACCTCACCTTGGGCTTGGATGGGAGCAGTAAAGTCTTCTGCTCAGAAAGCAGCTTTAGGTAGGTGGGGATTTTATTTTGCTGTGAACCACAACCTCTGTTCTGGCAGAATTTATTTCCTTTCTCTGTCTTAAAGGTTCTTCATCATTAAGGAAAGCTTCCTGCTCTACTATGCTGAGAGTGAGAAGAAGAGCTTTGAAAGCAATAAATACTTCAACATTCACCCCAAGGTGAGCAGCGTTTGCATGGGAGAGAGGGTTATTCTGTTTCTAGCTCCCTCCCCCGGGCCCAGCAAGTGAAGAAGAGGTAAATCACAAACTTCTCACAGATCCAGGGAAGCCTCAAAAAAAAAAAAGGCAAGAATCATGTCAGTACCTCTTCAGGCTCCATACTGATTCAGCAGGTACATGACTTTAGTATTTGTTTACCTGATAATAGATGTTTCCCTGGTTTTCATGATCTCCTAATCAACTAATCTTGTGGATATGAGAACACTGTTGGCAAAGCCAGCGTTGGAGCTAACAGCTTTGGTTGCTGATTGTTCCTAACCTGTACTCGCACTTGTACGTGGTTGCAGCCAGCCCCCACTGCCAGGAGCTGTCACGGGGGGACTCTGTGCTCTGAGTCTGCTTTTGCCCTCTGTAGTCACTGGAGGCTGATGGACCACACGTGCTTCCAAAGGTGCTGATTTCACCCCGCCTGGTTAGGGGCAGCAGGCCACCCATCTGTCCCCACACAGCACGTGTGGGGTGTTGACCTACCGGTGGTGACTGTAATGGATGCACAAGCTCTCTCATGCTGCCACACTGTGACTCTGCAACATCTGCCTCTGTCAGGAGATCACCTCCTGCTTGATAAAAGAGCTCCTACTTCCATGTTCTAGCTAGCAGCCTTCCCTCCAAGCCAAATGCAGGAGAGCTATCTTTACCACCTTTCAGATACCACGTAGGGGTCTCCTGGTGGTGGTGGGAGTCCCTCCGCTTTTCAGGAACTGTGTGCATTGCCCCTCCTGGGATAGCCAAGGCAGGGCAGGGGCCCACAAGTGACCAAGGGTGAAAGTTCAGCTCCTGGTTAGTTAATAGTTATACTTGAATTGCTGACTGATTGGAGTGCTCTGGTTCATCCCCAGGGTGTTGTACCTCTGGGAGGCTGCATCGTGGAGCCCAAAGAAGAGCCCAACATGCCTTATGCCATAAAGATCTCTCATGAAGACTTCCATGTAAGTAGACTTCTTTTCTTCTAAAAAAAGCCAACCACTGCAAAACACTGTATCGCTGACGAGCAGAGCTAGATTGGCAGTCTTTCCCACCCCACCAATGTGTGCCTACCCTTTCTGGGCAGACTATCCTGAGAAAGAGGGTGGGTTACATCCTAAGTCCCCTCAAGGCTTTGCTGCTGCTCCTGCTTTGACAACCAAAAAGGAAACCTGCTCTTTCTGACGGCAGGTCTCATGATACCAGCAGACAGATATTCAGGAGCCCTAGAGCTCATGTCGCTCTATCGTTTTATTCCTACCATGACTGCTTGCTGTGTGCATCTCTTTCCAAGCAAGAATGTGTGGTAGGCCTGGGTCATAATTGCTCCCATCTGATGTCTCCTGTGGCTGTGGAAGCCTGCGGTGGGCTCTCCTCCTGCCAGAGCTGTGCTAGTTGTGTCCAATTCATGCACAGAAGCACGTAAGGCAGCAGCCTCTCTAATCCCAGTGTTTTTTCCCCCTCCCGTCTTCTAGGGTAACATTGTTCTAGCAGCTGAATCAGAGTTTGAGCAGGCTCAGTGGCTGGAGATGCTACAGGAGTCTGGAAAAGTGTAAGCTTCTTTCTATTCCTTATTCTCTTTGATCTGCTCTGTAGATGTGTAAAGGATAAAGAGGAAAAAGCCTGACTAGAAGGACTACGGGGAGGCAGAGAAGCTCCCCAAGATTAGTGAGACCTCTACTTGGCTGCTAGAGCAGTTAATCCCAACACTGTGGGGCTGAAAATGTTCATTTGTAATTAATGGGGAACACGGTGTTACAGTGGATCAACCCAAGCCAAGCTCTGCGCTGCTGCAGTGAGCCTGGTTTTGGTGCCGGAGCAAGCTCAGTTACCTCCTAGTACTGCATGAACTGCAAGACAAAGCTGCCCATTACAGCTTCATGGGAGCACGAGCCCCATGGACACAAGACCCAAGGCAGAGGTCTGTCACCCACTCAGCATGAGCAGGCTTGCCCGCTGCAGAGGAGGAGGGGCCCAGATTCAGCCCTTGAGTAGTAATTCGGAGGTTTTCCTTCGATAGCACAGGTCTGCACTTGCCTTCACCAACGTTAGACTTAACTATTGCCAAGGGCAATAATTTGGGGGCCAAATTAATCTTTCGGGTGTGTATGGGAGGGAAGGAGTGTGGCTGCACAGCTCGGGAGGGGTTCTCGCAAGCCCTGTGCGGCTGCTCATTTCACCGAGCCAGCCTTTCCTCTAGTCCTTGCTCCAATATTCCAGCACTAGTGTTTAAAACAGAAGCTAGAGACATGGCCGCTATCATACAGCAGACTACCTGCACCTAGCTAAAAATCTGCCTGTGACACCCCTTCCCTCCCCTCTCTGCTTCTGTTCTTGCATCAGAGGAGGAAAGCGATGCAGCTGGCTTAATCAGTGCTGATGTTAGCCTGCACATGAGGAAAAGCACAGATTATGTGATTTATGTTCGCAGGGTCAGGTTGGGAGCCAAGCAGCAGCCAGAAAGGCACAGCATGGGTCAGTAAATTGATCTGCAATGAATGGGAAAGCTAAAAGGACACAGCTGAAATCTTCTAGGCAACCTGTTTTAGTGCTCTGTTGTTCCTAGATGGAGATTGTACTGCTGATGGCACTGCAGCACTTACAGTTTATTGTGATCATTCTGTAGTCTCCCTCATTATTTAGAACGAACCAAAGGGGAAATAAAAAAAAACAAAACAACTTCAGAGACGGAGATCTTGTTAAATAGGGGAAAGAGGGAAAAATGAACCCAGGGTGGGAACTGTCCTCTTATCCTCTCTCCTTTGTTCCAATTTTGTCTGCTGCCTCTTTACATCTGGGGCTGTGTGTGTGTGTGTGTGTGCCTGCACAACTGCTTATTACCCCCACATCAGAGTGTGCTCAGTGACGCCTTCAGCTCTTCACTCCTTTCCAAGCCCCCCGGTTTGATAGGGAAACCGCTTATTCAATGCGGAGGGGAGCTGATGGTCTCTCCACGCTTCTAACGTGTTGTGGCTTGGACTTATCGCACTTGCCAGATCTTGAAAGCTTTTCGGTAGTGCACAAAGCCCTGATTCCCAGCCGCCCAGGCTCTCTTCCCACCCAGAGAGGCTTTTGCTGCTGCTAGTGGGGGAGATGCACATGTACGCTCCCTATGTCCATAGTGGCATTCCCTGCACTGGTTAAAAGTAGTCTTGGCGGGCAATGGGGGGGCGGGGGGGGAAAAACAGATCAACTCTTTTTGTCAGGAGAAAGGCATGAACTAGGACATGGTTGACCCCAGCTGCAAATAATGCTGGGGACTTGTTTGGAGGAATGTGCTGACAGTTGCCATACCGTGTGTGTACCTGTGACACTCTGCTGGGGCCGTTTTGTGATTGGCATAAAAAAATAACCTGGCATTTGGGGAAGGAGAAAAAATCGGGTTGTCCTGGTTCCCTCTTGTTTTCTGGAAGGTAATTGTGGCTGCTGCTGGATAAGAACCAATTCTCTATCTCTACTCCTTTAGGCCCTTGGCAAAACAATGCTCCTTCCTTTGGTGACCCTCACACCCTCTACTTAGGCAGCCCTGCCTGCATATAGCCTTGGGTGGCCATTCCTTTGAGTCCCCTCCTTCCTCATCTCTATAAACATACAGACGTTTATCCATCCTGGGCTGTCACCTAGAGAGAACTAGGTAACGTAGTGCATATGTCCTGTGGGCCATGAAGTGTTAAGTGTCTCCAAAATTGGTTGTATATGCTCCTGAGAAAGGTAAAATGCAGGCAAAGCTAGAGAGATGCTCCCAGTGCTGCAAAAGGACTGGAATAGATGATGTTTGAGCTGTATAGCAAATGGAGATACTATACAGCTTTGGGGTTTTTTTTCAGAAGTATATTATAAGGGCGCTTTCTACATGTCCCAAGAGCCTTCCTGACCCTGTGCTTTCCAGCACTTTAAGCCATGTGGCTTCTTCTGATGAAAACTCACTTGGTAAGAAGTACAAAATAAAAAAAGCACTTGCTCGCCCCTCAGCTGAAGCCATAGCATGTACCTCCCCGCTGCTGCGGTTACACACCGCACTGGTTCCAGCAGATAAAAGGAATAAAAGCTTAAACGCTACACAGCGATATGGGTGCATCTTCTAAGTCATACAGCAGTGGGTGTAGTAACCTTTGAGTTACAGACAGGGAAACATCTTGTTAGGCTGGGGAAGGGAGGGAGCACTGAAAAAGTGAATCTAATAAACAGACACCTTAAAGGCCTCAGCTGTTTTGAAACCCTCCAAGTAATCATATGATAAACTCTGTTGGCCCCCCATCCCTCCCTTGAGCTGTTTGCTGTTGTTTTCTCTGGGATCAGATTCGTCCTGTATCAGAGAACATTAGTGGAGAAACACATTCACACCCGCATGTTCTCACTCAAGATGAAGATGTCTACCTGTGGGCAAAACATCACCTTTTTAATTAGCGTTCTAATTTCCTCTGCACTTTAGAAATATCCTAGATGCTCGTTAGCTGAAAAAACCCCCAGCTGTCTGCAAAGAGCACAAGGCAGTGCTTGGGCTGCCGGAGCTGTGAGCTGCCTGGTCCCTGGGGTGATGTGTGTTTAATATATTTGTCTGGCTTTTGTAAGAGACAAAGTACAGGTTGCCTTGAAATTGTTTTCTAAGAGGTTGCCAACTTAACCGTTTCCGAAAAGCTGCAATTTCAAATGGCACACAGAGAGGCCTGGTACAGGAAGACTTACAGGTATTTAATATTAATAAACTCCCTTAGCATTTAACAAAGATGGCAGAATTTCTGGGCAGCAATTGCTGTTCCTGTATGTGCATCTATATAAATAGATTGGAATGAATTTTACATATGTATTTTATGTGTGTGGATATTTTTTTTTTCTTAATGGAACATGAATAGATGTGAGCAGCAAACTCCATTTCTGGTTCTGTTTTTGATTTGTATGTCCTTGTCCTTGGTATTTAATATCTGTGTTAAAGCCTACCCAATCAGTTAATGGGTATCTGCTCCACAGGCCTTTTTTGCAGCTTATTTTCATAATGTGTTCAAGAGACCTTGAGATCCTCTGGCCAATGGTCCTACAATAACACAAGGTACTCTTTGAATACGCCCATTTCCTTTAACTTTCCCAACTTGCCAGCATCTTGTCTGGCTTTTATCTCTGGTTCTCTGTTGTTTTTACAGGGAGAAGCACTTAACTCCCATTGTAGGGCCAGACACCAAATCCTAGTGGCTTACAAGTTTAGCAGAGGAGGGATTGATTGGTTCCAGGATGGGTGGATGATGGATACCAGAAAGGCTGAAGATAGAAGTGGGAAGGAGTCAGTGAACGGTTAATGTTT